ATGGTTCATGGGGTCACAAAGAGTCGGACACAACTTAACGACTGAACAACAACAAAAAGGATGATTTGAGCCTGGTCATTTGTGCCTCAAGTGAGAACTCTGGGTTGATTTGTTCGATGATCGGCTGGTTTGTTTTCTTGGCTGTCCGCGGTATTCTCAGGAGTCTTCTCCAACACCAGAGTTCAAAAACATCAACACTCTTCCTATCCTGCTTCTTCAAAGTCCAACTTTCACTTCCATAGAGTGTCACAGGGAATACCATTCCTGCACTATTCTGCTCTTTGTAGTTATAGACACATCAAGGCATTTGATTATCTTCCCCAAAGACTTCATGGCTGCTCAGTAGCAGTGCTAGTTTGTGGCATATTTCTTGACTGCTTATTCCTTTACTTTGTTAGTTGATCCTAAAAGGCAGAAGCTGTCTATCAATTCAATAGCTTCATGGTCAAATACACACATACACAATATATGTGTTTTACAGACTAAGAATATAATAATAGAGATAAAGAAACTATAATAGAGATAAAGAAACTAAAGATTTAAAACTGTCATGGAGGTTATAGCTTTCTAAAATGTCATTAATTAATTATGAATAATTAGATATATGATATAGAACATGTTATAGGACTAAGAATCACTGTTGAACAAGCTAAAATGAGTACAAAGACCAAGGTCAACACAATCATATGGAAATTGTAGACGGTAGTAAATTCAATCCATATTACTAAAATCTGTTATGAGTTAGACATCTCATATAATTGAAGTATAGATTCTATGCATGAATAAACCCACATTTTGGATGCAGTATCAATCCATGTTTCGATTATGATCTAAGAATGGTTTCCAGTTTAAGCTGAAACCTGTGTACGTTTTTTAATGTAAAACTTTAGAAGAATCAGAGAGTCTGATGGTTGTAAAGGGAGGTGTCTCAGGCATATTGGTCCCTGTGGAGGCCACATTGGGAACCTAGGACATAAGAGGTACATACCTTGGTATCTCACAGAGCTACAGACAAGTCCTCCAGCATCCTACAATGTCACAGTGGCTCCTTTGTCTCAGATCATACCTTGTTTTAGCTTGCGGTTAGAATTTCCCATTTCTCCATATTGCCTGTGGTTTGGTCTGGTGTACCTGGTCGTGTCTTGCTGGCAGCAATCACACTTTCTACTTGATGATGAGGAAATGCTTGCCATTGGGTCAAATGAGGTTGCAAATTGGCAGAGAGCAGTCCTCTTCCTACAACCTCGACCTGTGGCAGGCTGCTCTGCTTTAAAATGTTTTGGAGTTCTGGAGCAGGAGGCAATAAATTAAAATGATTAGGAAAGTTAGATAATGGGATTTAAAATAAGCAAGGTTTTCCTGGGTTGGGGAACTGATATGTTAAGAGGCTGAGCCAGAAGGATTCCAGAGGTAACATGGATAACAAGAATATGTTCCCAAACTTGTGAAACAATATGAAGACTTTTCTGATTGCCTTATCTTCTGTGCTTTTCTGTTTTCAATTTTCCTTTGGGGATTATAAATCAGTTTACGTCCAAGCGGCTTCTGTTATGTAGAAACAATACAAAGCCCTAATTTGTTTTTTGTAAGAGCTTTCCCCCCCAATCTTTTGGCTTCCATGCTTTAGCTGTTAGCCTATTTATAAATCTAAATCTACATACAGAGGTCATTGGTTGGCTGAACTTAAAACCATTTTACTCAGTAAATTTAATTAAGAAAATACAGTGCAACTCATAAGCAAATGAGTTTTTCCTAGTTTTAAACCAAACCATCCTCTTGAGTGTTGATTGCCTTGCTCGACCCCTGGTGATACAGAAACAGGCAAAATTAAAAAGGACATTAAAGCTTCATTAAATCTGAAACACATTTAGTACAGTGACATATCTGCAGGCTATTTCGGGGAGATTACAGATTACCTTGACAATCTTGGGCCGGGGCAGGGGGGGGCACTCAGCAGAGCCCAGTCAAACAAAGGTTCTCGCCGTTGCTGGCATCTTCAGGGTTGCCTCCTCAAAGGCGCAGCCATTCCCGGTGGAGGGGTTGGGTTGGACTCTTAAGATATACCGTAGTCAGAAGGCGTGTGTTCTCCACCACGGTCATCTCTATATCAAGAAAACCAATTCTGCGTTCAGAATATGCTTGCATACATCTGTGTGATTTGCATAAATTTTCACCTGCACTAATTTGAGTATTATTTGAAAATGCCATTGTCATCCTGGGTGTTGTTGCTCTGCTGTTGCAGCTTGTATGCAGAAGAGCGACCAATCCAGGCACCTGCCATGTTACAGTTCATAACATACTTTACACTATATTCTATTTTCTCCTTTTAATCACCCCACAAGATGGGATACTACAGTAGAGAAAGATTTTGTCTGGACACTCCATAAATGGATTTGAAATGTGCTTTCACACATGTTACATTTCAGCTGTTCTGGCCCACACAAGCCCTCCGTGGACTTCTGGAGAGCCATTTGTGATAGCCATTTCTTTGTGAGTAATTCAAAGCATACCCCCCAAAGCAAGACTTACATATAAAGCAGCTCTGGGTACTTTCTGGCTGCAGCAGCAACTTGGAAGGGTTGAAGCCAGAGCTGTTTGGAAGGGGTCTGTCGGCCCCCAAGGAACGGGGGAGGTGCCCCTCTTGGGTTGGTTAACCCTTTCAGTCCCTCTGTCAGCGTGATAAGAAAAGCAATACCCACAAGCGCCTTTGCCTGAAGTGAGGCTTTGAATCCATTGCTGTGGGGCTAAATTGAGAGCCAACAGCCATCAGGTAGAGCGCAGTGCTGTGATCTTTGGGGTCTTGCATTTCAAAAGCAAAAGACAGAACTTTGCTTCCGTGATGGAGCTTGTCCAAACTCCTTGGCATTTTCACCATGCTAGTTGTGACTTTTGCCCCCGCGACTCTCAGCTTTCATCCAAATGGCTTGAATCTCTTAGCAACTGAAATGCAAAGAGAGGACACAGAATTGAAAAAGCCCCATATTGTGCTTATGAGCCCAGAATTTGGCTGGGCAGACCGACAGATACAGATCTGCTGCTCGTTTATGGATAACCATTCAAAGTATTGCCATTTTGCTTATCTGTAAGTTTTTTTTCTTCTGAATCTCTCTCCCCCCCCCCTTCTGGCTGACCCATTTAGCCCTCAAGACTGAATTATAAACCCCTCTCCTCTCTATCCCCTTCCTTTGCCCAACCCTAATGCAAATCCCTCTAACTAGACAAATTTTTTTTTTTTTCCAGCTTGCTCTCGGGAGGTTCCCGTATCCTCAGGTAAGAACGTTCATTACTGCCTCATTGATTCCTGTGGATGAAGCTGCAACAAGCAGTTGTGTCAGTCTTTCCACCTGGTTCATATAAATCTGCCCCATTAAATCAAAAAGCAATCACTTTAGAGTTGTCTGAAGCCGCCATGGATTTTGTTCTCCTTTTAAGTTCCAAGATTTATTTTGTATCCTTGAGACTGTTTCTAGGAATGGGGCAAAGAGTTGTAGGGAGTATGAAGCCTGGAAATTGGCCTTTCTGCCTTCCCAAATCAACACAATGGCTGGGAGTGATGCGCGTCCAAGTCCGGGGTGTCTAGAAGTCTCCGCTTCTGAGAAAGCTATTCTAGTTCACTGGCTGGCAGGGGTCATGCAACCCTTCCTTTTTCTTCAGTGTTTAAAAAGCAGAATTTCATTTGCTTGTTTTTTTAAAGAAAAAAGTAGCTGGGACCACAAATGCTTCTTTAAATGAGTTTGTTTTGGTCAGAACAGGACCGCGGCTGCTAATACCGGTGATGCTCACCAGTGGCCATGGCTTATGCCAGATGATCCTCCACAGCCTCCACGTTGTTCTCCTTCACACCTGTGTTGCTTTTCAGAAAGAGGGGCTTCTACATATTCCCTTTCAATGGATTGGCATAAAAATATTACTCTAAGAAAGAACCTTGTCTCTGCTTATAGACACACCTCCGTTAAACCACACCACCAATGTTGACAAATGGCAGTGGTTGGACGTTGCAGCCAAGAGAACATGATTCCAAAAAGGCTTTTTTGCCCGCAGGAGTTATTACAATTTATGCCTTAAGCCTCAACTGACAGTGAATGAATGTCATGTTTTATAAAAGGGCGGTGGTGGGGGTGGATTGGTATACCTGTATCAGGAGGCTTATTCAGGAGGCTCATTCTCAAGGAGCTTATTCAGAAACTGACTTTCAGAAAGTATTACTAGATACTGGGATTCAAGACGAGCCCCTCGGTGTCCATCATGGAATGGTGAAAAGGGTGCTGCTTTGTGCTGGTCTAGTGATTCTGGCCTTTTGACCTGCCAATGCATCTGAGACACTGAGATGGTAAACCTGAGTCTGGTTGGCATCAGATCGGACCTCAGGTGGGTGCTTTCAGAACATCTCTCCCCAAGCCCTTTTACATAAAGAACTGGTGAGTCTAGGAGATGGCAGATTAGACTTTGCTCTGAATCCTGAGGTGGGTTGGTGGTTTACAATTCCACGGGATTTTTTACATACATACATACATACATACATACATACATGGAAGCATTTATTTAGGGGCTACCATCTGTGGTCATAAATGGTATAACCCAAGCTCAGATCTTGCAGCTCCATTAAACCTAAATGATACTTAACCCTCCATATGGGCAATTTCCTTATTCTTCCAAATCATTTTTTCCTTGACCACCATCTCATTTAAATGAAAAACCAATAACAATTCACATGAACTCAGTGTGGAAACATTCCACATATTTCTGCTGATATTCAGAACATTTTCCTCACAAAGGGGGGGAGCAAAAAATAGCCCCAACTTCAGGATGGATTTCATTATATAGCTGAATCTTTACTGATTTCTTTCTCTGCAAATATCCATCATGACTAAAATGTGTGTTAAGAGTTCGAAAACTGCTCTTGCAATTTGTGGAAAAGTTCACAGGGCAAAATGGATTCCTGGGAGGTTATGGGGGAGTCTTTTCTTTTTGCTTTTCAGAAGTAGGATCCACCTATTAAAGGCATCACATGTGTACCGAGATGAATGGAGCCATGCATAAATACTCCCAAGCATTGCATTATTCTAGGGGCTCTCAAATTGAGGTTGGGGCCCCCCAGGGGGTCACAGGCAACTCAGAGGTGGGCTGCACATTTTTTAAAGCCTTATCAGGCTTGCGCAGGTAGAGTGAGAGAGCCATCAAAGCTCACGCTGGGCTAGCCTTCCCCAGCGTGCCTATGCAGCCTGGTTGTGGGCTTGCCAGGCAAAGCAGAGGCAGGTTTTGGCAGCACTCCTGCTTTGCCTGTGCAGGCAGTACGGGAACGCTTTTCAGCTTCTCCAGAGGCTTTGCTCCTTGCTTTGACTGCGCACGCCTTCAGTGGGCAATTGTGGTCCGACAGAGTAGGAGAAATCCTGTGATACATAGATTAAAATTTAATTACTGAAAGTGGTATATTGATACCTTGCCCATTCCTAACCCTAATGAAAGCATTAGTTTTATTCATTGGGGGTATAAACGCATTTGTCGTTTTAGGCAGTTGCGATTCTGCAAAGTTGGAGAACTCCTGCACCGGTACAGGAGGAGGAAGCAGCGTTCCCTGGTGGATCATGCTCACGTTTCCTAACCTCCCAGTTGATCCAGGCCAAAGGGCCTGGAGGCATATCTGATTTAAAACCGGTGTTGGTCTGTGCTCTTTAAGCATCTATTAACTCGTTATTATTATGCAAATGAGCCATACTAATTTATGCATGGTTAGATTATGCAGATGCCTCACCACTGTGGTTATTGAATAATAGGAAGTGATTTGATCTCCTCCTTGTGCTTAGAAACACTTTTTAAAAAAACCTAATTCTGTGGACGAAGGTTTAGCAGATCAATCCATGCTTGTCCTCAATTTGCCGCTATTGGGTGTGTGGTTCTATTTAAACAGGCAATGCTCTGCTATAGAGACATTGTGTAGCACTGTCATTCACCAGTCCTACACCATACACTGGTTCTGTCAGGCCTGATCCGAAAGCGCATGGTGGCAGAGTAAGAATATATTGCTGTGCATGTTACCAGGCTACATAGACACTTATCATAGTGACCAGCAAAGGTGGAAAAAGCTAGGGAGGTAGCAGGATCTTCCAAAGCATGCTGAACAGCAGTGGGTGCATGTCAACAAGTGAGCAGCGTCTCTCAACGTGGCAAAATCAATAGGTGCAAAAGAGAAACTAGGACTAAGAGACTTTCCGTTGTCCTGGCAGCCCTGAAGAACTCCCCCCCTCCCCACCAGTCTTCTTGACCCTTCTTATAACAATGGGAATTAGTTACCCTCGGCTTGATAAGCATCAGGGACCTCAGCCTAGACGAGATTGCACATACAACCACGTAGATGTTTTAGTCCCAAGACAGGCTTCAGACATTTGCCTTCAGGGTCACTGGGAACCACTGGAATATCTGATTCACTGGCAGAGATCAGGGGCTGAGGTTGCCCCCCTGGCCCTGTTGCCGCCCTGAAGGTAGCCTAATCCAGGCGCACGTTGCCCGACCACCACAGAATTCTTAGAGAGTGAACGACTCCTTGCCACTCTGTTTTCAAGCCAGCATGGATATTGCTCTGCCACTCACAGTGTCCTGCAGTGCATGGGAGTGAACCAAGGGACAGGAGACACTCAGGCTGGGAGTGAAAGGCCCAGCTGAGCTCAGACGCGTTCGGGCAGGACGCTGCAGCAACATCAGGGGTCTCAGCAAGCTGGATGGGATTGGAACTTAGGGACAGGTACCCATGACATGAATGCAACAACTTCTGTTTTATTGTAGAAATGCAAAGAAGCCATTGTGGAAGAATTCGAGCAACTGCTGTGTCAAGTGTGGGTTCTCTTTGTACTGCCATCAGTGCTCAAATTCCTCCACCCCTTCCTCTTGCCTGCTTTGTGGAAAAGGCTAGAAGTGAATCTCTTTGGGGCAGGAAGAACCGTTTCCATCTGTTCTTTGTTTTGGTATCAGCCAGATACGCTACCAGGCTGTTTGCTTTTCACCATGTGAGAACTCGTTCAGGGCAGAGGGAAAAAGCCTCCGGTGCACAGGGAGAACTCCCAGTGGCTTTTACAGGAACTTGCAGAAAAGCTGTCCTTAAAAATACTGGGTATACTTATGTATAATGTGCTCCAGGTTCCTAGGCATGAAAGACAAGATGTCAAAATGTTTATATCAGGGTGCTGTTTCTGATGATGGTGAATTTTATTGTACTTTTTCATTTGCAGTTTATTTGCAATTGTCAGTTGGCATTTAAAACATTTAAATATTGTGATAATTAGACTAAAGACTGCTCCCACCAGGTGTTTTTACAAGCAAACTCCACAGTTTGCTAAATCCAGCAAATTCCTGATATGCGTGATGCTTTTGTTAACCTATAACTGTGACTGTTGTCACACATTCGTTGGTAAGAGTGAAAAAAAAGTTCTGAAAATATGACAGTTTTAGTCATTCTAAATTCTTTACAAAGAAATGCCAGACTGGAAATATTGTTTTTTCTGGAGAACAGATTTAGAAGAATACTTCTATCCTGACAGAGATGTAAACATGTTCTGTAAGTTGAGTGAAACATTTAAGCATTTTAGCATATTTTAATTAATTAATTAATATTTATCTATTTTAATTAATGCTCATTCTGTTTTTACTGTAAGCCACCCAGAGTCACTCCGCAGTGAGATGGGCGGTGGCAAATTCAAAAGATAAATAAGCACCTGTGCCGTGGAATCATCTTTTTGAAACTCGTTTCACTTTTCTGCTCTGTCCCTGAAACTCTGGCTGTGCATTTGGGCTGCGCTGTGGTTTTGACACCATTTTCTGCTTCTAACATGGAGAGAGCTATATGGGGTCATGGAGGATTCTTCCAAGGACCGTCGCGTCTCGCAAGCGTCAGGCCTCGGAGAAACCTGCAGGAAATAATGATTGCGTATTTTCTTTACAGAGATTCCAGTTGCCTTGATTAAATCAAAAGGTAGCAAAGGGCAGTGCCATGTCTTACAGTCAGGAAATTTCATGAAATTGTTAAGAATTGCCCCTGCTGGTGCTTAAACTGCTCCCTGTTAAGGCAGGGTGAATCCCGCCAGCTGTATTCAGAGGAGACGGCGCTTCTTGGCTGCCGGGAGAGGGTGAGAAATGTGTTTAAGTGATTTCTTCTGAATGTGGCTAAAGCCCCTTCCCCCTGTTTTTGGATACACTTGCAGATCTTTGTTAATAAATTACATCAAATGATTTGAAGTTTGGAAGGAAGGATGCTTTGCCCCCTCCTTCTTTAAAAAAAA